CTAGTAGAAGAAAAACACATGGTAGAACAATTATCATTAAAACCAAGAGGTTAGCAATTAATTGGTGCAATCCTGTAACTTTGGGCCAAGAATGTTCATATTTAAGTCGATCTACTGAAGGGGTTTTATGGTATCTCGGTCTATGTCGTTAATTGACCATTTCGACCATTGATACAATTCACAATGGTAAACAATTCTCAGGAGCAAAAGGGTAAATGATTTCAGGGCTCTTTCAAAAATAAATTGCATCAGTAAAACTTAGGAAGGCATAATTGCATATCCAGGCCCAAGCTTCCATGCATGTTTCCCATCACATGTATGCAGCCATGTATGCCAAGCAAGGCTGGCCTCAGACGGGTGCCACAACTTGGGGTGTCTTTGGCTCGCTTGTGAAGGAGAGTAAGGGGAAGAGGCAAGGTTGTGCTGCTACACCTCGTAGTTTGTCCGCTCGGTCTGCAATGCTCTCCAACGACAGGTTGGAGATGAAGTGGTTGCACGCGAAGTGAGCGGCATGGTGGCCCGCATTTCCATCGAGGAAAAAGTACATGGGCGGGGCAGAGTGGAGGCGACACTGATTATACATCAAACTTTCTCACTCCCAATACTGCATGAAGCACCCTGCCTGGTCATGTTCTTCTGACTGAAATTTGATGTGGCCCTGAATATATGTGCAACGGTGACACTGCACTTACTTTGCCAGCCCCTGCAATCAAATTTGTCAACCAGTAGAGCATAGTCCATAAATACTCTGATTTTTCTCAAGGGGACTATAGGGGCCAAATATTTCAAAATCAGGGAGAAAATCATAGATGAATATGTTGAGCGAAGCCTGCTGCCCCTGCTGTCTTGAAGCTCCTACACCACAGAACAAATATCAGTGCACTGCTTTGCTAATCTAGACCAAAACAAATCAAGGAAACTATCAATTTTTCCGATAAAGATCAAGAGAACTCTCCTAATCGTGGCATACTCATCCTAATCCGCCTCTGCCTGCAACAACCAACTTCCTCTGGCTGTGAACACTGACGTACATCCAGATGCACGCACCAACGCCACATTAGTCTAGCAACCCGATTGAGTTCCACCATCATACCATTTTTTGAATCATATGGAAGGAGAGTTATTCTCATGATGTATTCATGTGGGAGTTAACCTCAAGGATCTGTGACTGAAACGGGCTCGGACAAACACCCAAACACCTTGTGTGCAAAAAATAACTAAGAACATCCACAACCTATGACCAGCTAATTCTATCCCTATTAACAGGAAGCACCACATATGCAGTAATTTGACATCATGAAACTGTGCAAATTCGTGATCCTCAGCAGAAAATAAAAGTCATCCAGAGAGACTGGCACGCGGTTTCCTCTGGTAGCATGGGGTGGGCACAGAAATACACGTGTGTCCGAAGTTGAGGTGGAGGAGCAGAGGGGGCGGCAAGTGCAACGACGACTGGATGGCCGTGTGGCTCTGGTCGAGCGGCGAGCGCGCGCCCTCCCAGGCAGCACACATCGAGGAAGGATGAGCTGAGGCAGAATGATAGTGCAGGGTGTTGCGATCTCCGTCGTCGGTCGGCCGGGCCGACGACCGGCGACTGGTGCGTCACCGGATCGAGCGTCCCGCGGGTCGGGCGAGTCCTGGCGGCGCAGATCGGCCCGCGAGCGCCGCACCCTCCCATCCTCTGCCTCCCGCGAGGTCGCAACGAGGGGAGCAGTGAACGGCGAAGAAAGCCGTGGGTGAGGAGGAGATGGGATTGGGAGAGGAAGGAGGCGGTCAACGTCACGCGGTGAGGCCGTGCGGGGCGGGGCGGGAGGCGCCGGCGGCGCGCGGGGCATGGCCGGAGGTGTGTGGCGCGGGGCGGAGCGCCGTGAGGCAGAGCATGGCTGCGTTTATTTTTTTTCCTTTGTACCGATTCGATTTGGACGGCGGTAAGTGCGAGGCGTGCCTTGTCGCACCACATCCGCACTGCTACAGCATTGAAGCGTGCGCTGAGCAGTGCAAAGACTCCGGCTACGCAGGCGGATACTGTTCAGATCGCCATGGAAGATTATGCATCTGTGTGAACTGCATAAATCAAGAGCCCTTCAAGCATCCTAGAAAGTCCCTTTCACTTCATATAGACTCCCTCTGTAAATTTTTATAAGTTGCTTTAGATCATCACTACTTTGGCGATCTAAAACGTCTTATACAATTTTAGGGAGTACTCTGCAAAAGCTATAGCTCGATCGCATATTGGATAATAAAAAACCACGTGTTAGTGAAGTATTTCTCCTCTTAAGGAAACGTCAGACATGCACGTGCATCACACGTCTTGATTAGTGGAGTAGTATTTATCTGGTTTGCAACAAACGTCAAACATGTATCACCCTTATAACGAAGTTGGTCAAGCCTTCTAAATTCTCTTCATTCGCAACCAACACTATCAGCCTGGCGCTTCCCCTCTCCTACCGCTCCGCGATCGCTGTCCACCACAAGCGTTGGCGGTACCGCGTCCTGTAGACGAAGAAAGAAGCGCTTTCATGGAAATCGACAAGGTGGCGGACAAAGTTTACGGCGGTGACACGTTCGCCGCCGTCGCCGATAGCGAGGAATAGTAGACCATGGGAGGGCGCCGCCACTTTGGTCCCATAATGGCCAACTCCACTGTGTTGTCGGGCTACATAGCTAGTGACTTGCCCGCTTCGTGGGGGCGTAGTCCACGGCGATCGTCTTCCCCTGCCCAAAAATCAAATCTGATCCATGCTTTGCGGTAGAGTAGGGAGGCTACTCTTTCCCTCCCGTTGAAGCATATCCCTCCCAGGCCGACGGCAGTCCGTTGAGCGGGCTGCCACACATAGGGAAGACATGTCATGGGAATGGACATCCGCAGCGGACGGCGATAGACTAGTTTAGCCTAGCCAACATAGTTTAGTTAAAATATGTCCAAAATATAATTGTTTTCATCTGATTTATATGGAAATCATTCGGTTTACATGAGTTTCGTCTGATTTGTTGAAATGTGGATTGAATTGCATGTGGCTGCATTGGATGGCCGGCTGCCGCATCAGTTTCCTTGAACTGGTCGGACCGGTCTACAGACAAATGTGCTGTTTGGTTTAGGGTCAGCTTTGGAGATTCCCTTACCCTGATATTTACTAATGGTGGTAGCCCTTTTGCTCGGATCTTTTCTATGCACATCCCTTTATTTGGATTTTTTTCTTCGGATCAAAGTTACCACGGTGTTCGTACCTAAATTATCAGCTCCGCGGTGTATATATTACCGTGCTATTCACACTAGGGATGAAAATGGAGTGGAAACTTTCCAAACAGAGAGGAAATATGAAAACGGAAACGGAAATTTGCAAAACGGAAGTGGAAATGGAATTTTTATGTGGAAACGGAAACAAAAACGGAATGGTGTTTTCCGGTGGAACATGCATGGAAATGGAACTTTCCGTTTCCGTGAATATGGAATTTCTGTTTTTACTATAGTTCTATAGCTGCTTTGTAGCCCAACCACCAAAGAGAACACAACGACACAATTGGTAGAATGGGTCTAAGGCCCAACTTCTACTACCACACATGTACTCAGCTTGACCCTATACGCAATTGTCCGGTACTACTACAATACTACGCTAAGTTGCTAACATAATAATATTATTTTGTAGCCATGTTAACAACTCATTAAATTTGTTTGTTTTTTGTGTGTATTTGTCTATGATTCAAGGGGTTTTTAAGTTCCGATCAATGCCTATGTTTGTTTCCATATCCGCTTTGTATTCACTCCGTGCCTGTTTCCGGCAGTATCTGTTTTCATATTCATTTCCGGGGTTTCTGTATTCGTTTCCGCTTGTGCAAAAAATGTGAAAACAAATATGATAGCACTCAGTTCCGTCCGTCTCCGCTCCGTTTTCATCCCAAATTCACACATAAGTTGGTAAAAAAAGTTGGTTTTGATATATTGGACAAGAACTAAAGCGTGTGTGACTTGGTTACTCGGCCAAAATTCCAATGCAATGACCTTTATTGTTGTTTTTTCTGCATATAGTTTAGTACAAGGACAAAACTAATCTGCAACTTAATATAAGTAAGTGCTCGCTAAAGATGGTTGAGATCCTTCAACCCGGTGGGTTCTGGGCTCAATTCCTACTTCTCTCATGATATTTTGCCCCGAGCGCGCTAGAGAAAACGAGAAAAATATCGCGTGGATGGGCAGATTGTAAATTCGGATTCGACCGCACGAGCGACGTTGACCGCGAGAAACTATCTTGCGGCTGGGCGCACTGGAAGGTTACAGAAAACTATCGTGCATCTAATCTGTTCGATCTGTTAAAAAAATGTTGGTTCGCCATATATACTAATTCTTGATTCCAAAAAAATTCCCACATCTATTATATTATTAAAATGATAGAAAACAAACGATGAAGATTAATTATTCTATAGCTAAAGATGTTTGAACGGCGCAGATTGATTAGTATGTTGGCTCCAATTCGCGTGCGCGCAGGAGTCAATTAGGCAAAGTCAAAGTCGGTTCCTGAACTAATGTATATAAGTCAGGACACTTCTATGTAGACCGGCATATACAGCTGATTTTCTAGAGACACAAGGCACCACACGCATCGTCAGTTTTCAATAGATTTCCATGGCCCAATTAGGCAAAGTCAAAGTCGGTTCCTGAACTAATGTATACAAGTCAGGACACTTCTATGTAGACCGGCACATACAGCTGATTTTCTAGAGACACAAGGCACCACACGCATCGTCAGTTTTCAATTGATTTCCATGGCCTGATAAAACTAGAAACTATCACGTGGTGGTTTCATGGCCGGCGCGTACCTGTGTATAAATACATATACATCTCTCTCTGCTACGCCTGTGTATTTGGCCATAGATCGTTTTTGTGTGTGCGTTGTCTGTTTCTAGAAGATCAATTGCATCAAGCCTAGCTAGCTTTGTACTGCGTACAGATCGCTCCCGGCGAGTTGATGCCGGCAAATGAATCACGCTATAACTTCGTTAGTATTTGTGCGTCTCGGCCAGGCGTAAAGCAACAGGGGATAAAGAAGCAGTCAGACATCAATCCATAATCTAGGGCGGGTCTATTGGTTTAGCTTGCTTTACAATGAAGCGCGGAAGATACGCCATGCGGCTGGAGACAATAATGCCATTAGCAGCCAAAGAGTGCAGAACCGTTGATTGGATCTATAGTTGACAGTGCTCCCCACGAGTGCACCAAGTTTATGGAGTTTATTTTTTTCAGAAAAGGAGGATGACCCCCGGCCTCTACATCTGGGCGATGCATACGGCCACTAAGTTTATGGATTCTATGAGAAGATTCATCACCATAAGGTTGGAAGTGCTTTTTTTGCGGGTGAGGTTGGAAGTGCTTCTGATTGGGCAGCAAACACAGATGCAGTCAGCAATCTCAGCCATGGAACGATGAGGTAAAAAAAAGAAGTTGATCATGGGTGCCAAACAACTGCAGAAGCATTGATGGAAGGATGTGCAGCAACAACCAGACATGCAC